TGACAAACTGTTGGAAACAAAAAATGATAGTTTAAGCTGATATTTGCAGTTTTGATGCGGTTTTAGATATGATATGAAAGTGGGTTTTTAAGTAGTTATCTGCAGTTTTAATGTATATTTCAGTCTGTTAAGTTATGAAAATGCAGGTTTTGACTATAATCTACTCGAAAGCAAGAGCGAAAACCATTTATTTGTCGCAAAAAGAGGGGTTTTAAGTACATATCTGCTTTTCTAAGGTAGATTTGGGTGCATTAAGAATCGAAAAAGCAAATTCTGGCAGGGATCTTATCGAAATCGGCAACTATTTGACTCAGAAAAGGGATTTTACACCGATATTTAATGGTTTATAAAGATTTTCTCTACTATAATGCTAAGAGACGCCAATTTTGGTTAGTATTTGAAAAGTGATCGTTTAATCTGATATTTGCAGTTTTGATGCGGTTTTAGGTACGGTATAAGTCGGAGAAGCCGATTTTGACAGGAATCTGTTTAAAACGAGAAGGAAAAACCTGGTATCAATCCAAGAAAGTGGTTTTAGAGGAAACCTTAAACTCTATCGAGACACAGTTCACGATACTGTTCATATCAAATTATCACATCTTTGAAAGTTTTTCATTTATCGCAAAGAATTCAAACACCAAAACGGAAATTTCCAGGATCTATTAGAATTTTTTGCCCACAAACGACGTACCCTGTATATAATTCCAACAAGGTTCGAAATAGAGGCTATAGCCCTGGATCTCCTTAGTATCCTGCAATCCGAATTATTCCAATGGAGTAAATGGTTTTCAAAAAACTACTTGTTTTCTGAAACCGTGCAGTACGTGGTAATTGTAAATGACGTCACCGCGGGAAATGGTGATTTTCATTTGGATTTTTTCAAATATCCCGAACAGCGTATGTGATAGACGAAAACCGTAAATACAAAAATTGGAGCCCTTGATACGGCCTATAACACTGAACGGATTAGCTATTGTTTTCAGGGTCTTTTAAATTTTTGTCCATAATTAAAACACCTTGTACATAATCGAAAAAATGCATCAAACAAAAGTTATAGCGCCGGGACTCCCACGTATTACGGATGTAAAGTTTTTGCGATCGGATGAATAGCTTTAGAGGAAAAGATGTTTTTCTGGATAAAAAAAATAACCACAAAAAAATATTCAAAAATTAAAAAAAAAATACTTCGCGTTATTTTATTGCTCTCAATTTAAAGAGTCTAAATGCGGGTCCAGACTTCTATTTCTCTCCCAAGTCTGACGTCGGTAGCTGCTTATCATGTTTTTAAATATTGCACGGAATATCGCGAATACCCTGTACAATACTTAAAAACCGTAAATACAAAAGTTTTAGCTGTCTATATCGTCATGTAAAAGAAACTAACATCCAAAACGGATTTGAAATTTTCAATAATAGGGGGACCCATTTTTCAGTTTTTTTTTAATTTGCAGCGCACCCTGTATATTTTTGAAAAATTGTCAAGAATAAAAGTTTATGGAGCCGTATCTTCTCCGTCTTCTGGTTTAAGAATCTTTTCGGTTTCGGAAACGGTTTTCGAAAAATGATCTTTTTTGTAGACCCTTGCCCAGGCGATTTTTAATTTTTTAAAATACTTTCCGTAAACCGCTATTTTTTTTATCCTCTGCGTCTTGCGTCTTCTGGTTTAAGAATTTTTTAGGTCTTGTAAACGATAAAACGGTCTTTTTTCTGGACCGTTGCACACGCGATTTTTAATTTTTTTCATAGCAATGTTCAAAAAACAGTCGAAAATCGCGAATAAAAGATGGATGCCTGCTTCGGATCGAGGCTATTTCTTACAAGCTTATGTATCTCGCGGAGGCAAATTACAATTTTGGAGCTCCAATGGTTCGAGTATTATTCAGGAAAAACCAAAAGACGAGAACGGAGAACGGAGAACGGACAGACAAAAAAAATGTAAACCGTAAATGCCAATTGCTCCCAATCGAAGTTTCCAACTGATGGGAAAACAAACCTATTTTGGAGGTTTTTGTAGTTTGCTCGGTTCGAATAGTCTATGAATTCTTAACGACAAATCGCGAACGCGAAAAGATTTGATTTCTGTTTCCATATTCGATGGAAGTAACTCGTCTGGATTCTCAGAAATAATAACGAAAACCTCGACAACGTCGTGGACAATAAAATCGAATCAGCTATTCTTGTCGTTATTTTTATAAGGCTTCCAACTTTATCTCGCAGCTAGCAGTAAAGGCGTAAACTTTTCGGACTTCAAGTAAAACTCGGGTTAATAAAACTATCCCGCGGCAGGGCTCCAATTTAAATGCAAATTTTCCAGAAATGAAGCCAACCTGAAAATTAATAATTCGAAATTATCGCGAACTATTTGCGTGGACGCCTGTACGTGTTGAAAATAAATATTGCGCTATCGATTTCAATACACCTTTTAACGATATGTTTGGTGGTTATTACGTAGGTGCCAATGAAATTAGATACACCGACGGGCGATATTGTTACAGTGTAAACGCAAAAATCGTCTCCGCTACCGACAGCAAAATATATTCTAATTAGATGTTCCAATGCTCGTAAAACTGTCCAAGGAAACCAATAAAATAACGTTCATTATCGCCTAACGAATAATACGTTTGTCGGTGGCTGAACCTAGGCTGAACCTAACTAACTAAGTTATAGAACTCGGTTGTGTTGAAACAAATTCAAATTTCATTGCACGATAATTGCGGAATTATATAGGGTGGAATTTATTGCTAGGTCAAGGGAGAATATAACATTATCAAAAATTTGGCAATCCATGATTATAACTCTAGATGACCTCATCGAAACTAATCTGAGCATGGGTATTAATCAACAAACGAGGGTTCTTACCGCTTTTTCATTATTATATCTATTGATAACATCTACGGCATGGAGATTTAGAAAAACATAAAAGCTTTAATTTATAGAAAAAACAAATAAAATCTACGAAACAACTCGAAATTTCGGATTTTTTTTTCGAATTTATTTGAAAGCGAATTTGGAAACAAATTGCACATTCCACTTGGTATTATTTTTCGTGCAATTTAACGACCGAGGTACTAATGATTTTTATTTTTATATTTTTCTTACTAAGTAGGAAAGCTGCATTGAATTGAAGAAAAGTGGTGCATTTTATTGCCCAAAATAATAATGAAAATGAGGTCTTAGGAAAAAATCGAAATTTTTAAAGGTCACATTCACGCATTCACTTGGAATTATTTTTTACAAGTTAAACATTTATTAATTATTGTTACACATTTTCTAGGCCTCGATACAAAAATTAAAAAGAAAAAATGTACGAAACGGCAGCAAATTTAGTTGGTCTTTTCATTAACAAAGTGGGGATTTTCCAAAATTCCGGTTTTTTCCGGATATGACCAGGTATGACCGGATTTGCTTTTAAAATTGTATGTTGGTGTTGACATTAGGTATGTGCGTTAATATAGTTGAAAATAGATTAGCCCGGGTCAAACTCAATTTTCGATTTTAGAATATTTGTCGATCAACAGTTTCCGGAATATGCGGGTAAATATTTATCTTGCTCTCGGGATAAAAGGGCGGATTATTATCCGCGCAGTTATTTACCTTGTTTATTTAATTTCGACTGACCGAATATGAGATGCATTCAATAAAAACGCATGGATTGCTTTAAAATTGCAAATTTTTAATATTTCTGTTTTTGAAAATTACAAAAATATATACAGTTTGTTACGGGCTTATATTAACAAATGCGGAGATGAAATTGACAACTATAAAGGTCTTCGTTAACCGAGATGAAACGCGCCACATCTAAAATCAAAAAATTAATAATGTGATTCTTACTTCGGAACCGTAATAAATAAATAAACAGTAGGCGAAATATTGATTGTAGAGAATACAGACTCAAAATCGCCAATGGCGTGATATTTTTGTCTCTAATGAAACATATATCCTAAAATTGGTGTCAATAAAAAATAAAAATATATATAGTCCTGTGTTAAGTAAGTCACTTTCAAATTGAAACCCTGCAATACGCCTGTTTTTGTATTTTGATTTAAATTGTAAACTATAATATTGAAATTTTGGCTGTCTCGTACCAGTACACAAAACAATAATAGATAGATATAATAAATTAATATATTTTATCACTTGTTTGTATTCCTCTACACAATAAAAAATGATTTTATTTTGGCTTTATATTTTTTAAATTGGAATTTTGTGACCTGATTTGGAAATACATTATATAAGCTTAGGTCAAGAGAATTTGTCACGTTTTTGGAGCATTTAAACGTCCTAGTTCGAAGCAGATTTGAGGATAATGTTGGCTATCTGAGTGGAGTTGTGACAGATGAGTACCGAAGGCATAATCCTAAATTTCAGAAGTTGACAATATAATTCTCACTGCCTCTTCTTGCACAGGATTTTTTTTTAAGAATCCTTTGAGATTGCCAACAAGATAACAGCATATGCCAAAATGAATGAAAAAAACTATAGTAGCTCGAGACTTTTTTTATTAAATTAGTTTCCCTGTAAGACTTGTTAAAACCGGGAGAATAAAAAAACGTTTTTCAAATATTTGTTAAACAATTTCAGTTTTTATAGATTTTTTTATCCTTGAAAATCATAACTTATGAAATTCAAATTCTTTGTTAGTTCCGAGCACTACTATACAGGAATAGGACATTAAAAACAGACAATAAATATTTTTGCGATACACACACAGAACAAGATTATTCCTTAAGGAATTTACCCTACAAAATTTGATTAACCCAGGTTAGCTTACAGTCTAAAGTTTTTGCTAGGAAATTGATATATTTTATTGTTTTGATCTGTTGAACTTTTATTTTATTTTTTTGTTATTACAAATATTATGGTTTGATTAAAAAAATTATAACATTTTCCCTGCTTATGGACGAGCTAGAACTAAGTTTTGAATTATCTAGTGATTCACACAATAAATATATATAAATATAAATTTTGCAAATTTATTGTCATGTGCATCAAAACTTTACCTTTTGTGTTCTCTATCGATGGTCAAAATTTTAAAGTCGACACTTCACAGCCCAAAGTAAGCGAATCGTCCGAAACAATCTGAACGTGTACCGCGAGTGTTACTATAGGGAACGCGCGTGGATCTTTGACAACAACCAGACGAGACTGTTGATAAGAAGTGGAAATACAAAATGAATGATAACAAGCAACTTATTTCGAATTAAAATGCTTTTGTTTACTTCGGAAAAATCACAATAGCGGGAGACGGCCGCAAACAGGAGTAGGGAGGACGTGGATGCTTGTTATTTTATCTGCTTACCTCGTTAGTGCAGACAATGAGCTGTTTTCGTTTGGTTTTCGTGGATTAGCGTTATATAATATTCATCTCTGTCTGTTTCGTCTGGTGAATAGCCGACGAAAAAAATTTTGATGATTTCCGAATATTATGCAGGTTATTTAAAAATAAATTCGAAAAACTTAAGCGGGTGATTCCTTGTTTAAAATATAAAGTAGTTTGTTATATAAACATTGGACACGGAACATGAATGTTAAGGGTTGTTTAAAACAAGGTAAATTACAAATATAGTGCAAGATTAATGATGGAGCAATAAAATATTACTAAAGTATTCTCTTGCCGGTCCCAGGCCCGGATAAGGAATTGGTTGGGGCGATAGGCCAGCTCCCTATCCCCCGAAAAAAAAACTATAGCTAAAAATTTCGACAACTTGCTTCGGAACCAAGATAGGATTAAACGACGACAAAAATTGCAAAGAAAAAGTACATTACGATTCGGTACATGGAACATACAAGGCCTAAGAACTAAATACACAGAAGTCTCTCCAAGAACTACGAAGGAAAAGAATGGATGTCTGCACCTTAACAGAAACAAAGAAAAAGGGTCAAGGAAACGAAATAGTAGGAGATCATATTCACTTCTACATTGGAGTGGAAAAACATGCTAGAGCTAAAAGAGGAGTATCTATCGTAGTACACAAAAAACTCAAGAAAAATATTAAGGCATGGGAAGAACAAATACTAAAGTTAGAATTACAAATATATGGACATTACATTATCTGCCTCGCAGTATATGCCCCTAGTGAAGACGCTGGCACCCAAAATAAAGATGAATTTTATGGAAAATTTAACGATACATTAATGAGCATCAAGGAAGATAATGAAACAGTTATTATGGGAGATCTAAATGCACGTACAGGCAGCAAGCAGGCAGATATGGTGAACAAGTAACTAATTCCGATGGACAACGCTTAAGTGACCTTTGCCAGGGAATGTCGTTGAAGATTATGAATGGCTTTTTTCCTCACCAAAACATCCTCCACAGGTTCACATGGACACAACCTACTAGAGGGCTTTCCTCACTAGTTGATTACATAATTATGAAACAAAAATCTAAAATAAATAACCCGGACGTAAGGGTATATCGGGGTTTGGAATGCGGCTCAGATCATCACTTATTAGTAACAAGACTAGTAGTAAATTACAGAAGAAAAATCAACATAAAAAGAGAGGATGAAGGAAAAAATAATAACACACAAGTCGAACGAAGATAGAAGGCCGCAATAGGAAAAAGCAGAACAACCCAGAATGGTGGGCAAAACAAGCGGAGGATGTAATTAAAGAGAAGAAGAAGGCATATCACCACTGGCTAAATACTAAAAGGGATAAAGATAGAGAAATATATGCAGAACTAAATAAAGTAGCAAAAAGACTAGTTGAAAGAAGTAAAAATGAACGCTGGGAGAAGACATTCGAAGAAGTAGGTAGATTCATGGGGATTTCATTGGGGTAAAAACATCGCGAAAGTATTATAAAACGCTACTAACTGAAAATAGGCCAGAATTTCAAATGGACGATATAGACATAAACATAGACGATGTACATAAAATTACAATAACTGAAATTAAAAGAGCCCTAAAGGAATCGAAAAGTAAAAAAGCCGCTGGACCCGGAGACATGTCCATAGAGCTAATAAAGAATGCACCAGATATATTACTAGAACTATTAGAAGAACTATTCAATAAATATATACACGAAGATTAAATACCGGAGGACTGGAATTTAGGATATTATATATATTAGGATTCTATATATAAAAAAGGCGATAAAAAACTGTGTAATAATTACAGACGCATAACGGTTATTAGCTCAATGGGGAGGTTGTACGGTCGAATACTTAAATGAAGAAAGACAACTTCCAAGAAATAGAAGAACAAAGCGGTTTTCGAACGGGAATTTAGTATTTATAGATCATGACAACCGGAATCAACAATCTATATGTGAGAGCCATCTGGAACCTAGGGAAAGATGCGACGGGTGTAATCAAGACGGGAGGACATAGATCGAACCGTTTTTCAGTAAACAAAGGATTAAAACAAGGGTGTAGCATGTCCCCTACTCTATCAAAATATATATTCAGGAAGCCCTAAGAGAATGGAGTGAAAAAATAGCAAATATGGGGGTAGATTTTTAGTAGGAGGAAAACACGAAGATGAAGGTCCTGAACTATATATTAGAAAAATAAAAAGAGCTACAAATTATAAGTACTTGGGAAACGTCATAACGAAAGAAGGTAATTCAAAAAAGAGCTCAGCAGGGAAGAAGCGCAACTCGATCACTTAATTCCTTGTGGTCCAACAATATTAAAACATGTACGACAATTAGAATATATAAAGCAGTTGTGGAACCCATCTTAAGGTACGGCGCAGAATGCTGGCGAATGACGAAGAACGACAAGAAAGTTATCGACACAGTAGAAATGGATTTCTTGCCAAGTGTCAAGTGTCGAGAGTAGCACACGTCAGGAGTGAAGAAATACGAAGAAGAACAGGGAGAAAACATACCAGCACTGACCGAATAGAAACTATGCTTGCCAGGAAATTCTCTTTGCACAGCCGTACACATCCTATTTCGGCATAAGTAAGCATTAACCATTATTGAATTGAAACTCTTATTATTGAACAATTAAATAATTTTATCAAAATTTTTTCGTTAAATTAGTCGTATTTCCCATAAACTTAGAAATATCAAAGAAAACAATTATTAGAAAGGCCCTAAGAAACGACAGCATCCCTCTTATGTTTTGTTTCGTTATACATTGTATTAGATTGTATTTTTTTATTTCGATACTATAAGTATTATGAAAAAATTGGAAAAGAAAACAAAAAAGTTTCTACATGAAACGTAAAATCAAAATGACATTGCATACGTTCTTGCTTAAATTTATTTAAGAAGAATTATTGGGGTGGAGTAGTTTAATCCCTTCCACTTATTTCAAAAAAATAAAGAGTATGTGGAAAGTGCGTTTTTATAAAAATAATTCTTCCGTAATATTTCATTTTGACATAAAAAAAAAACATTATTTTTCCGCCACCTAACGCTTGTATAACAAACTACGCATTATTTTAAGTTTTTAACATTTCTTTTGAATCACCTGTATAACAAGTGTTCGAATTACTTTGTTTTACACAACCCCTGATGTTCAAATTGTTATAATGATTGTGGCATGGTTCCCAAAGCATGGGCAATTTGGTAATTGTCTGATATTAATTTAGCGTCTTTGGGTACAAATCCGCAACAACTTGATTGTTAAAGACAATCCATTCGTTATTATTTGTTTTGAGGTTTTTAAAATTTCAGAGTACAAGGTAAATCGGGATATTTCCCAGGTTCCATTTGCAAAATTTCATGAAAAACTATACAGAGCATTTCTATTTACTCAAAGTTATTAAAAACGGAAACTTCAAAATCATCACTGCACGATTAAAGTGTAAAATAAAATTGTGTCATATCAGTAAATATGTGTTCAAAAACTTTTGAAAGTTCAGTTAGTTATAAAGTCTGACGCCTTGTAAATTTTTGTTTTAAATCTTATATATTACTCAATAGCATTCTACCATGAACACCTTTCCAAGTATTCCACCGGTCCTGTACCTAATCCTGACGGTTTTTCACATGTATTACATCAAAAATGTGTGCCCTGATTTCCCTATAAGTTTGAGCGGCATAATGGCAATATTATATTTTTCTGTATCGGTGGTTAAGCTCTGTGTGTATATGTATATGTATTATATTTTAATTTGTTCTTAATTTTTATTAATTACTGGAAATACGTTTTCTTTAAAAAACAAGCACTACTAGAAACCTGACATAATGGTCGTATTTATTTATTTTTGATTCATAATATTTACCACAAGAAAAAAGGTTGGCATGTTAGAAATGCCATTAATCTTGTTATAAACCGCTTGTCTTGGGATAATGTCTTATCTCAGAAAACATAAATGCAGAAATTAAAGGCTTATTTCAATAGCAATAATTAAAACCATAAATTGTTTTTTGCGTAAAGGATTTTAAACATACCGTAATAAATAAATGTTCCGTGTAAACAAAATAACAAAATATACGCAAGGTCTTTACGAAACACTATGTAAAATTCCAATCATTTTAGTATTTAGCTTTTCTATTTCGCTCATATTCTCTCCCATATGTTTGATTTGGTAATTTTGAGACTTCTGGTGATATGAACTGTCAAATGTTCTATATAATATCGTTACCATTGGCCTTATTGTCTATTATCTTTTATTAGCTACTTATTGATAATATTTACCTCTGTTTTAAAAATTGCTTGTTATATTTTAAAACCCCCTTTCCTTACAATATTAAATAAGCCAATGACAAAAATAATAAAATAATTAAAACTAAAACTAACTCCAAAAACTTCCTTTACATCTTTACAAAAAAAAAAACTGACATTCCATACTCAAATCCGTCAACGACATTTGCGGTTAACTTAATTCCTGAGATTTCCAAAACAGTTTTTCCTGCCTGGCTCCTCTATTTGTTAATATATTTAACATTTTTGATTTTTGATTACCACATTTAGGGAAAGAATTAAAAGACCTCAGCAAAGCATGAATGTTTTAAGTGATTCAATTTTGCCTTTTTTTTTCAAAACAATGCGTCATGCGACAATAATTTTTTTTATTTAAATATATTTGTTTAAAATAAAGATGCTGACGGCTCGGCGCTTTATTTTTTAAATTCTTTTTTATGTATTATTCTTATTCTTTCTACTACTATTGTTATTATTAATCTTAGATTGGGTGACCAAGTATCTCAAAAAAAAACAAAAGTTTGATACCAAAGTGCGTGTTAAAATAGCCCGTCCATATAATAAAATCCCAAAATTTACGGTCTTGGTTTTGTTTTGATGGGGATTGAAAAACGTGTCAGTAAGTCAAGGATAATAACACCAGCGAACTGCAAATTTGTTTTTTATGCATTTTAATAAGAATAACAAATGAAGAAAATGCCTTGTGCAAGTCAATGATTCAGAACAAGCAGTTGATTTGAATAATTTATTCTAGACAAAAAACGGCGACGGCGATTGTGCGTCTATATCGATAATATAAGAGTTTTCTTTTTGATGTTGCAATTGTTTAGCGTTCCTTAATCACCTTGAAACTCTCGTTCTTAAATGCGATTAACGGGATCAGATCCTTAATAAAAATCGGACTCAGTGAAAGGACCATGCTAATTCTGATGTGAGACGACCATTGAACGAGATCTAAACTTGTAGGAATGTCGATACCAATTTATGAGGCATATTTTATTCAGAGAGCGACTGTCAGAAATGGGGATTCTTTTCTTTATCATATAAATTTATACTAATGGCAGGGAAATATAATGACATTTTTTTATATTATTTGGACGGTTTTGAGGGTAAACTGTTTACTAGACGATACTTTATTGCAAAATTGTCCTTCATTTTCTATCACGTCACATTTTACACATTGACGTTGAACTTCGAAATTTACTTGCCCCGCCCTTCATAAGGGGACTAAAACATCATAAACTAATGAACTTTCAGGAAGTGAAATTTGTTAGTCTGGCAACACCGTATTCCGTTTTAAATATGGCTTCCATGAAAGAAATAAGGAATATGAATCATTATAATTGAGAAAAGCGTTAAGAATATGAATATTTTAGAATTATTTAAAAAAATATATTTGTAGTTACACGATACGTTTTACAGTGATTTTTTTAATTTAAAGTGCAATGAAAAATGAGATCTCTACATGAAATATGTTGAATTACCACAGATAAATGGGCATCACCGCGTAAATTGATGTTTACCAACAATACATCTCTGATTCTGCTTACTGTAAACATTACGGGTCTCTCCTGGTTAAATTCGTCGCATCAATCAAGGTTACGAAAAACTGCGCAATATAATTTTGATGTTACAAACAAACGGGCTCCCCTGGGGCTATCGAAATACCCATTCGCGTCACACACTTACAGGGTGTTAATTATATAAAAAATAATGATCGCTTGCTTTATAAACTTAATGAGGTACCACCATTATGTCTTCAAAAACATCAAAACAAAATATTGGTTGGTAATACATTCCGATCAATGCCAAAACAACAACAATATCTTCTTGCATTTTATATGTGTCATTGCTGAGGAAATTATCTGAACTTAATTCTCTGGATAACGACCACCAATATAAATTACTAGGACTCGTTTATAGATTTTTCTAGACGAAAACTTTCTGTTTTCTTCTTTAGCATTTTCGGCTAAAATTTTTTTTATAACAAAGATTCTCGATGAGACACTTGCATGTCCGATGCAAGCTCTCCAATTGAGATCTGACCTTTATGTCTCAACCATATTTGTTTGCCTTCTACATCTTCTTCTAAAACTTCCGTCTCCATATATTAAGAGTGAAATTTGAACTTAACTTAAGGTACTTAAGGTATAATTCATTTCTAATTATGTTTTCCATATTTCTAGGAAGCATTGCCACTCACAGCTATCCACCAACTTTGTTGCACTTTCAATTTTAGTTTTTCATATATATTATGTTCAGTCCTCTGAAAAGCAGCGAACAAAAAAGCAGCGTTCGTCGATGCATAGAGTGATGCTTTATGTCTTCTCACGTAGAAGTAACTTCATTACACTTCCAGTCCTGTACGAGTGGTATGCCTTAGAACAACATTACATACGGTGGATAAAAATTGAATGGATCCATATTTGTCGAATGTCTCCAAAATTTACCTCTAGTTTTATAAACCAGTATCGCAAAGGAAAGTTTTGTCAGAAAAAATAGCAATCTACCTCAATGTTTAAAAAATACAGTAATATAATAGGCATAAAAATATATATTAATATATAAAACTAACAAAAGAAAGTCATGAGGAGATCGACAAACAAAGAGCCGGAGTGTGTTACAGAATATAATTTTTTTTATTTGGATTTATAATAATAATAATAATAATAGTCTTTGTACCTCTGAAACGGCGAAGATCTTGGTCTCAAGTACAGAACATTAACCAAATATTATAATAATAATGAAAGAACAAGCCTTAATAATAACAAGAGACTAAAAATTCATTATTGATAAATATTAATTTGTTTAGGACAGAGACTTTTGTAATTCCAGTAACTGAACTTTAAACTTTTTCCTAATTCAAAATATGTATCATAATTATTGTAAAGCTTAATGACAATATAGCTAAATAAATGAAATATCTTGTTTGAAGGTTTATTGTTTATTTATTTAATTATTAGCTTGATTTTGTTGTATATTATGCTGGTTACTGGTTATTGGTTAATATAGCAAAATATGGTCTATAAGGTTTTTTTGGGACATTCTATTTGATTGTGCCACTTTAATGGAGAGTGATGTTCCGTACTTGGAAATTCTGTATGGGAATTTTTAGTTATTTCATTTTGGTCTATTTTGACACTAAAAGGTGCTTAAAAGTACAACCGTAAATTACTGAGGGTTTTGAAAATTAAAAATCGGTTTTCTGTAGCACGGCAGTACATTTAAAACGAAATAAAAGATTAGAACACAGTGTAACTTTTAGATAAAAGTCTTTTACCTGAGCTTCGTAAGAGTTGACTTCAGCAACCGTTGCTGATATATCTAACAAAGCAAAACTAAGCAAATGTATCATTACCACTAGAGTCAATGCAGTTATTATCTTTTTCTTTTTAGAAACAGTCGTTGGAAAATAATTTTTTATTTAAAACAATGTGAGTACATAATTACAAAAGCTATTTACAGTATTGGACTTGGTTCAGTCTAACGCGACTGTCCGATTTTGCCTTCAGGAACTTGGGGCAGAACTATCTCTGCAACCTTTAGCGTGAATTGCATTAAAAATTTTACAAGAAGCAAACCAAAGGTTACCTCTATTTAATTACCCTTTTTCATACGTACACAAAGTTAAAGGTTTACATTTTTCTTCGCCTACAATATTATAGTTATTATTGCGCGTAGGTAACACCATGTAGGAAGTATACCTAACGTGAGTAATGAGATATTAAACTTGTTTGTAACGAAAAATAAACCATAAGATATTTTGTATGACGCGGCAATACGCCATGGTATTTTTTTAATGCTTTTTTATATATATATTAACCTTGACTTTAGTCGTACAAAAATATAAATTTTCATTTTGGGTATTCGACTAACCAAAACTAACACATTAATTTAACAGTCTAAAGCGATTAGCACTATAGAAGAAACTAAAAAAGAAACCGTTGAAAAGAGTGAGAACTTTGTTCACGTTGGTCCGCAAAACTCACCTAATTGTCCTACAGTATCAACAAATCACATCTAAGATGAACTATTTAATCAATTCACTACATTATGTGCGTATTTGTTCAGAATTAATTATTACTCTAAGTTTCCTACGATTAAGTTAAAAATTCCTATACTTTTCCTACAATTAATTTAAACTATATCGTTTATTAACAATTAAGTTTACATCACTGAAATGGAAATCGAACAATCGCATTTGGCCCGTGCCACGATTAAAATTCAGTTTTCTAGGCGAACGTAAAGGTATAAAACTTAATAGAGATCGACACAGAATGCAGAAGCGATAGAGCGATAGAGTTAGAGACAAACAGGATGCGAAGACATGATCGCGACGGATTTTGGCCGGCACGACTGAAGAAGCAAACGTCGGGTTGCTTTTCCGTAATCCTGGATGCCATGCGCCAGATATTGATTTACAAAGGTGAGACTCCTCGGCTAGTTTCGTGTCTCCACAGAGAGCGATTTCGAATTCATAGTCCCAACGTAACGTACCTTCTGAATTAATAAAAATAGATAATAAAACCCTGGTTAAATTTTTATTAAGCTTACCCAATTGTATAACGTGGGAAGTAAAAGGTTTTTGATCAGATATTTTTTAAAATTACATATTGACTACCCCCTGTAACTGTTCGTGTTGTAATTTCGTTGCACAGTCGATAAAAAAATCATTGTATTGTTAGATAAAAAATTTTGAAGGTGTAATTTCAATGTCCTTTTAGTTTTTAGTGTTAAAACAAGGATATTCGGGAGTTTTATTTTAAAAACTGTTTATTTGAGGATTAAATTCTTTAGAAGACGACACTTGTCTTTATTAAACTTTTTACAAAATGCCCAGTCTTAAAAGGAGTTAAAATCTTCCCGGGTTATTCGATAAAACCTACATACAAAATTTTCAATGCTAAACGGTCAAAATTTACGTTCCTATTTGTTTAGGTATTTAAACATAATGCCTCTTTAATAATTTAATTGGCTAAGCGGGGCAATTCACGAAATTGATTTCGTCTTTTATTTGGTCGAGTTTTTATACGAGAACTAATTCTGTACAACATCCGCTACCAGATGGCAAAACTAATCCGAAGCGACCGTTTTTTCTTTTGTAAATCGATAGGCAGATGAAAATTGGAACGGGGAAAATATTTTAGAGGTAACTTGATTTTTGAATTTCGCTTTGCCACGTTCGTTCGTCATTGATGTTGACTTTTCTACGATGGATGAAAATGAAAAAAAAAAAATAGGTATTTGCAATGATATGTTTTGAAATATCTTGCGCACCCTGTATGATCGACGAAATCTCTCGATTCAGCTTACGATGCTGTTTAAACCAAATTATCCCTTTTTTAATAGTTTTTCATTAACGGCTACTAATTTCCCTACCCTGTACATAGTTAAAAAAACGCCGGAAATAGAGGTTATAGCCCTGGATCTCCCATGGTTCCTGGTCCAAGAATTTTTCCAATGGAGTAAATGGTTTTCGAGAAAATAATTTCTCTCTGAAACTATGCGGTCCGCCGAAATAGTTCATGACGTCATCGCGTCTAAATTTGGCGCGAGAAACAGCGATTTTCATACGGATTTTTTCAAATAGCTCGAACAGCGTGTGCCATAGACGAAAACCGTAAATTTGAGGCGGCCTATAACAGTATTCGAACCGATTGGCCATATTTTTTACGAATTTTGATTTAAGGTTAATAATTTATTCCCGAAAAGTACAATTTGCACGGTCTTTTAGACTTTTGTCCATAATTGAAAAACCCTGTATATAATTGAAAAAATGCTTAAAGTAAAAGTCAAAGTGCAAAGTTTGTTGCAGCTATCACGTTTCCAAGTATTGAATAAAATACCGCGAACACCCTGTACAATAGGTAAAAACCTTAAATACAAAATAGTTAGCTGTCTACACGACCTATATCGTAATGTAAAAGAAAGTGACATGTTATAGCCAGTTTTCAATTAGAGGGGGACCCAATTTTCAGTTGTTCTGAATTTGCAGCGCACCCTGTATATTTTTGACAAATTGTCAAGAATAAAAGTTTATGGAGCCGTATCTTCTGCGTCTTCTGGTTTAAGAATTTCTTCGGTTTCGGAAACGGTTTTCGAAAAATGATCTTTTTTGTAGACCTTGCCCAGGCGATTTTGATTTTTTTTTAAATACTTAGCAACCCCTCAGCCCCCCCATTTCCAACAAGTTCCATACTCAGGTGATTTAGAAATTGTATAGTATAGGTCCTGATGATGTGCCAAGCAATACTTTTTTTGCATAAAATAAAAAAAAGAACGCTATAAAAAGGGGTATAGTTTATTTAATATCTATGCTTATTAAATCACAATAAATGTCTGAGGCATACGAGCTCAATTTTCGTTATGAAAAAACAAGTTAGATGCTCTATGCAGGTTAAAACGGACCAACAGCGTCTAATTTGTATACATCGATTGGAAAATCGCAATAGGTAAGCCGCTAGTTTTTCTTAACTAAAATGTGACTTTCGTGAAAATAAAATTGTCAAAAAAAAAAGATAAAACATTATTAAATATCAAATCCAGACAATCTGGACCACATTTTAAAAATCATTCCGGACTTGTAATTTTTAACCATTCAAAATGTGTTTTTCTGAAAGATTACCATACGAATGCATTTTGATTAGTTAAAAACTACTATGATTTTTTTTTGCCGAATACCACACGAGGTCAAATTAAATTCGGAAATTTATTAACCTCTAGTGGTCTTACTAGTAAAAATTATGTTTAATGATTGAGATCTATCGAGAAACCACAAAGTTATTGATTTCAAACAAAAAGATAATCTCTTTAATCAAAATGTTTTTTAGAGTGTCTCTGTTAATCGATTAATTTTTTTGGAATCTTGGCTGATGCTTCTCGTGCTTAAAACAAACTAAAAAAAATTAGAAATTTTTTGAATAAATCAAAAATAGTAAGTCTATGGCTATAATCTGCGACCAAGAGCATATCAATAAAAAAAACAAGGCCTAAGGCACGGAGTGCTTTAGTTTTACCTGTGGTATAATTTGCACGTTTGCCTAGAATAAAGTATTGCGTATTTTAAATGGGAAAACTAAAATTATAAATGAAAAAACATTAAAATTGAATGAAAACAGAAAATTCTTGTAAAAAGAATTACATTTTATTTACAATTAGCTTAACTCTTGTCCCAAATTCTTTGCTTCTAACCATCAACCTAATATTTTTCAAAAAAAACTCTATTGTGGCTTCGTAAAAAATTTTGCAAGCGGTTTAGCCTCCTTAAAATGATTAAAAAGCACCTTTCCTTTGATCAACGACAGTGGTATATCATCTCTTCGTGTTCGCAGATTTTACACTCGACTTGAAAAAGTGTCTCGTTCCGCCATCTACACTTGCAACGTTCCTTCACGATACGAAACGATGTGGTAAATCCTCTGGCGCAACACAAGCTCGCGCAGTTATCTTCATCTCGACAGCGCCGCCCAGTGGTTGTCGGACAAAAGTCCGGAGTGTAGTCTACGAAGAGTAGACTTCGTCTTCGTTTCCAGCCTTGGTGTATTTTGGGCGTGTTGTTGTCGGGTTCGACGTGTAGGGCGCGATGATATTCGTCTTTCAGGCTTTTGGCGATTTCTTGAAACGGTTTGAGTCTTTTCCAGCAAATCTTCATCGAACACGAACCTAAATTTTTCCAATGATATACGAGACGCAGTACAAATTTACAAAATATAAAAAGGCAATAAAAACACTTAAAATTGACGTTACCAAGTGTTCGCAGCAGTTTGATACAACCTGATTTTGGGACATCCTTACGCAGAAAATGCACACAACTACAATTTGCATTGAGCAATGTGGCAAATATTCTTTTTATCATTTAAAATTCGTTGCAACAAGTAGTGACACCATATAATCTAATTAACCCAACCCAACCCGATCAGAACGTGGTAAATACGCTGCAAAAACTCGTTAAGACCACTTATCTGGCTCATGGTATATGGTTATGGTATAAAACCAACTTGGTTATGTTTTTTTTTACAGATTTCACCGATCTTTAATCAGTAACAGAGAAAATTATTCGATGTCACTGTAAACAAGCTTCCCTAGCTGCACATTTTATAATTTACCCGATTTAATTAGCACCTAATCGCTAAAGTTGCCCGTCATTTTTCACTGCACACTTATAACAAATTGCATCATAAACACTATAACAAATAAACATTGACAGTTTTTGCATTAACAACAAAATTATGAAATAACAGTATGGGATGCACTAAATTTCAAGTAATAATAAACATATAGAAAATATTTCCTTCACTTGACCTAATTACATAGTTCTCGGAATAGTTCATTTTAAATTAACGATCTTTGGTGACGTTAAAATCAACGATACCTTCCGCGCCATCTACGTTCTCAAGGACGAACCATAGAAAAACCGGAAACCACCGCCATCTAAATGGATTCCGAGAAATTTATGCGCATGCCCGGATTGATACCGATCGAGAAATGCTTGCTTGAATGTCTATTGTTAATTATATTTTTTGGTTACAATTACAATATAATTTAAAGAATGTATTTCAAACATAGAATAAATTGAACGATTTCGTAGCGGATGTGCTAAAGAAAATCACCCACAAACACTAAAGTAAAGGTTTTTCAAAGAAACCTCCACAGGCTAATTATAAAACTTCTGGATTCCACCTGCATCGGTTTTTGTTGAGTCGCCAATCATCATCCTGTTGGCTAGTTCGACTTCAAAAAAACCGATGTAGGAGGAATCCAGAAGTTTTATAAAAACTACTAAATTAAAGTTAGTAGATAGAATCGCAAAATGATTTGTTTAATAATTTCTTTAGAACTTTTTGATGTACCCTATTTTGCTAATAGTGAATTTTCCAGAGGTCATTGATTTTGTTGGAACCAAGAAACTATTGCGGAGACAAAAGAAAAAGCAGTTGAACTGTAAATTGTTTAAACTATATATATAGTATAAAGAGTAATTTTTGAAAGACGTAGATAATCAAATCCAAACCGTATGCTGCGTAAATTCTTTTGACGCTACTTATCGTCAAAAAAATATCGTCAAAAGAATTTAAATTTAATGAATAAAAAACGAATTTGAAAAAGGAACTTTGACACCCCGAAGGTGCGCCAAATTGGAATTTTTTAAACGAAAACTCTTCTTTCTAAAGGAGAAACTAATGTAATTAGTAATCAAAATTACACATGGACAAATGTGCATTTTTTAAAAGTCACTGTAACTTCTGTTATCCATAGTTTTCGTTTCTTTGAAAATATTTACAGAGCATTTCTCTACACAAAATTTAATGGCTTATTTATAATATTTTTAATACATACATTTTGTATATGGGACACTCTGTATACTATTGGTAAGAACGTTTAAAATTGCTTTATTTATTTATTTGCGATATTGCTTTATTATGGTATTATGGTCCATTTGTCTGAAGCCTACTGGATAAAAACTCTCTAGTAAAATATATTTTATAAAAGATAAGTACTTTTTAATGATTTAAAAATATTCATGATGTCCAATATAAACAATCAATTTTTCTTTTGATAACGAACTAAACTATTGATTTTAAAAATGTTTTCATAGACAACACTTTCCAGATCAAAAAGGTGACAGCAATTTTTCAAAAACTCATTTTTTCCAAAAAAAACCGATAAATCTGAAAAATCTGAAATTAAGCTCTATATATAGAAAAGAGAGTTTCCTTTTAAAAGTGTCCAATTCGTCCGACCCTGTACATTAATAATACAGAATTTTTAGGTTGCATGAACTTTCGTGGTTAAAAATGATGAAAATGTGCAATGTGAAGAACTTCTAAAATTCGAATAGGTTTAGAAATGTCATCGTCATCGCACGAGAAAAATCGATTTAAAATGTTAATTGCACGCCCATTAAAAAGCAGCATAATGCAAAATTACTTTTTCAGTTTTACTGCGGAAGATTGACAAAATTCTACAGCGTTTAACTCGTAAAGGAGGTAGATCGTAAAATTTCGTAACGCCGTTGTAATAATTTTTAAAAAATAATAAAATTAAATTTTTCCCATCTGAAAGTGTGATGGCGGTTTTTTATGGCTTATTCGTTTCTTAAATCGATTATACTTTATACCAGCCTTTTTTTGTTTCTATCTCGGTGTCGACGTATCAGAATGTTCGTCGCGAGTATTTTTATAGCTTTTTAAACGACAAAGCCATTTAAATAAAGAGTGAAAAAAAATTAAATATTTTAACTAGTTATATCGGGTATCCCAGGACAAGCAACGAGGTACGGTATTAACCACTATTACCACTAGGGGGCGTAATTGCAGTCTAACCTAAACTAACCATGGAAGTTGAGATAAGCTTAAATCTTTCTTGTTTAATGTTGTTTTCTCTATCTCTACAAGGAAAGTGGTGACTTTTCCCACCCGGTGGCTTTTTTTGACAAAATTTTCAGCAAAAAAAGCAACAATATGACCCAGTGAAAACCGCATCTTAGTATTTTTATCCTAACCTAAAATATTGTTGAAAGGACTTAACGTTCAAAATTATGGAAGTAATTTCCACTTTTCGGGTTGTTTTTAATGTCTAATTTTTCACAACTCAGCAAAAAGAAACGCTGAATTATTATGCCAAATGATATTTAAAAACAAACTGAAATTTTGTTTTTATATTTTACTCTTTTTTACAATATCTTTGGTTCGATTTCTTCTGGATTAAGATGAGTTTGAATGGGACACTTTTAATAGAAACTTAAATCGGTAGGTGACCAAGAGATTTTGATAAAGATGCGCAGAGTTTGGTTAGATAAAAACCAAATTTGTTTTCATTGCAATCTGTATAATTAGAATGAATAATTTCTCTCAAAAGGGATATTTTATTAATTTTTTGAGTGGTTTTCCAAATTTTACTATTTATTAACGAGTCAGCTATTAACACTAAATTTTAATGAAAAAATAAGTTTTTCAAAGACAGTTTCACAGGCTACTGTACTACTATTAACAAATATTCTGCATTCCTCCTGCCTCCGTTGTTTAATAAACTGTTCTCAATTACCAAACACTGTGGTAAATGCATCATCGCACCAACTTTTCCCACTTCGTCCTTGCCTCACGAAAAATGATTGCCTGGAACATATTTTTCTTGTAATGGTCGTAATGGTTAAATTTATAAACAAACTTTTGGAATAGATATGGGTTTATGGAAGCCTTTACGAAGAACGCTGTCGACACCTTCCATCAAAAACTAAAATTATGGAAATGATGCGTTGATGATACTTTCCTTATTTTAACTCCATACACCGTAACATACGTTTTACCATTGAATTAGAATCTAATAATAATCTCCCATTCTTAGATATTCTATCAATAGAAAATCAGGTCTAACATTGGGTCAAACCTATGGACAAAGACAGATAGATACCTTATGCGCATGGACAGCTGCCCAAGACAATGAACCCGAAAGCAACTCTACACTTGCCTTTTCTTACATTCAAAATATGACTCACCACATATCAAAAGTTGTTAAGAAATATAACTGCAAAACCAGATTTGCGACTTGTCTAAAAATCTATCAATATCTTCGATCCATTTGAGATACCACGGATTAACAGGATTTCATGGATATGCGGCAAAGAATACGAGATATAGGACCAAAAATACCAACTTGGCTCAAAGAAAAGAGTCTTAGGACTACGACAAATAAACTCATCAGCCATTTCCGAGCAACATCAAATCTGATTCGATAAAAATGAAATTCTTGCAATCAATTATTCTACCAATGAAAAATCCGAGAATAAATAGAAATCTAACCAAACAATCTTAACCGCGACTCAAAAATATGAGAATCCGCCCTCAAACAATATATACCTTGAAGTTTTTATTGTTTAGTAGTGGCTTCAATGGGAGTTCTTCACAAACCATGTGCCCTAAATTATTCAGAAGTATCAATAAATCAAAAAGCGGGCATAAAAGTAAAAGCAACCAATAAATTGCAAATTTTCTAAAAAATACTATTATTTACAAATAATACAACTTATGAGTCTTCATAAAACTCAACAATATACCTCTGAAGAAGGAGTTAGGATGCTGTTTTCACTGGGTTGTTTGGATCTTTATTTTAATATCTCATAAATTTTGTATGAGTATATTAGTATCTAACGACATAAAAATACATATTATTGTGTTTATTTTTTTTCTGATGAAAGACTCCAAGTATATTAAAATGCGCTAAGCCTTTTTGGAGATATGGACATTTATTTAAGAAAAATTTCGAACACCTTGCAGCGATAGAGCAAACATTATTGAATTTGTTACAGCTTTGTTACCTTTTTCTAGAATCCGATTTTTAAATTCCAAGACAGCAATTACGCCCTCCGGTGGCGATTTCGTTACTTAATATATTTTTTTAATTTTTAGGGCCGTCCGTTTATCTAATGATAAGTGGTACTTACCTGAAATACCATGACATTTGCAGTATTTTTCTTCGTGTTCCATCGCTACCCTTATACCTACTTCGCTATTATATCTAAGTGCCGTATTTAAGTTCGAATTGTCACCCTTTTTTCTCAACTGGAAAAAGTTTTTGGTCAACGCCCTCGCGTGTATACTGTTATCCCCACAGCCTGAATCACCAAAAACCTAATGCAAAAATCATATCAAATGTTAACTATGGTTTCAAATTTACCTCCCCATTGCCACTCGGACACGTTAGTAGATTTTCCATGACTAGCACATTTGCAATTCGCCAAACTGCCTTCTGCGCAGGCCTTGGCGACTGAATATAGAAAAGCCGACGTCGTCAGAGAGTAAATGAAAGCCGTTTCCCTGTAGAGTTTCTTGAATATTTTCTTCGTGTTGCCTGAAGAACAGTTCCATTGCTCGAATCTATCGTAATGATCACATTTAAATCGACTCGATCGAAGAAACAGAAGGAAAAGAAGGAGAACAATAGTATACTGAGGTATCCAAAAGAGATATAAAATATTTAAAAAAATCATATTCATCATATTCAAGTCTGTATTGTTTTGTAAAATCCGTTTGATTTTGATTCTGTACTATACGCAAATTTGTGGGCAAAGTACAAACTTTTCAACAAGTTTTACTTTTGTGAAGTTCTATGAAGGTTACTTTTTGAAATTACTTTCATATCATACAGGTTGTCCCAAAATGGATATACGTATTTCGATGGATATGCATATCTCGATTCTACTATCAAAATAAGGTTGAGTTTCAACAAGGTTTTTGATACCTCAATCTGAATTTTTTCTTAAATATTTTGTGTTGTGTCAAAATTCAATCTAATTTTAATTTTTTAAATACGTAAATAGTATTTAAAGGATATTCTATATCCAATTATCAATAACCTCATGTGTTACACAGAAAGGCAAAAAATTACCCCTAAACTGACTACTTTAAGCTCGCTTAATTTACATGGAAAACAAATTTTTTTAACTTGGTTTTTCGCTCTCTTTGGTGTTTTGTATCTTGTTATTGTATCTTGTTGCTAATGGAATTTGGATATTTCAGATAATTTATTGATTGCGATTTTTTCCTGTATTGTTAGAAGTCCCTTTATTTGTAAATTTTGTTTTCTGAAAACGGCACATTCCCAGACTTAATACCACTAGCTGCCAACTACACCAGATAATATGAAAAAGTGTAACCTTGTAAATGTTGCCTAGATTAAGAAATAGTGTCAAGAAAATGGAGGTGGCTGGAAATTCGGATTTCGAAAATTCATTGTAAATACACGGTTTTCTTCATTTTCATGTTACCTTTAGTTAATTTTCATTAGTCAGGACTATGGGCTGATTAATAAGTTATCTTTCAAGTTTAATAAAAATTGTTGCCAGAAGTTGTACTCTTAATAATAGAGTTTGTACCATTTACTAATCGTGATAAAATGTCCAAATTTTCTGTATTTTATAAATACCATAGGCAACTAGATGTAATTAAAAAATATTTAGATAATAACAAAAACTTGTTCTGCGGAAACGTGAAGAGTTAGCTAGAGGATGCCTTAAACCATTTGATGTACATTCTTTGGCAAGTTAAAAAAATATGGCATTCCGTCTGAATTAATCAATTTATAGCTCTTTAAAATTGTTTTTAGAGTAGAATTAAGATAAAAAAATTGATCTATGCTTACACATTATTGTAGAGTTCGCTTATGTAGGGGAGGGTGGGGCAAGCGGACACACTTAAGTTTTTTATTATTTTAACCATCAAGTCGATTTATTTTTGACTAACTTTAAGTAAATTTACCCAAATTTTGGCGACGCTTCTGGCCGTCGTGCCCCACTCTTCCCTATTTATAATGGTTTATATAATAATTATAATTATTTATTAAAAAAAAAAAATAAAATAAAAAAAAAATTACTGAATAAAAAATTTGTTATTGGTATTTATAAGATTTTCGAAAGCTCTGGCTTTAGGCAAAATCCATAGAATTATCCAAAAAATAACACTTTTAGTGAATTAATTATGATTCTGTTATAATGATATGGACTACCTTTTTTTTTAGACTTTTTAAGTGTTCAATTTTACTCTGATATTACGCAAAGGGCTGAAAATATGCTAATAATCAGAATTTATAATTATAATAACGCAAAAAAAAACTAACCTAACTAACCCAATCTTTCGGTCTTATAAATGTTATTAAAGCATACTTATTTTAGTGGTAAAAAATCCTGTAGAATAGGTATAAAAATTTTCATTTAAAAAAAATATATCTTTGGCCATTTTAATACTTTTGCGACAATCTGTATATTATGAAAACAATTTGAAAAAGTAACCATAGGAATCCTTTATATATCTTGATTTTTGGTTATGTTCTATTTCTTAAGAAGAGACAGTTATAAATCATAACTGAATTGTAAAACCGAGTGCATTTGCATATGTGTATATGTGCCTTAGTGTTTAAAATTAGAATGTGTAGTCGATTCCTGAAAATGTTTGTTTCTAAATTTGTTGAGGAGAAAGGAATTAGTAAAACTACTTCTTCTAAAAAAAGAAAATTGTGATGCTCAATCTATACTCAAAATTGAAGGTTGCAAAAATATTTGAAAGGTGTTCTAATATGACTAATATGAAATGGACAATCAACATGGCTTGCATATCAGGTCACCAAAGAGGAAAAGAAACTGGGACCCTGGACAAAATGACGTCTGAAATAAAAATAAAAATCACTAGGCAAGCTCTCATGAAGGGATTTATTAGATTCATTCCTATTATAAAAGGAAATGCATCTAACATGTGAATGAAATAGAAGAAAGCCTGTGGGAAGCTGATAAAATGCACTAGAAAACACTCTAGACCCCCTTATTATTTCTCTGGATTCTAACGATTATAGTTCATCTGATTACTCGGAATATGATGACTCAAATTTACAAATAAATAAATGGTAAATTTTTGAAAATGATAATATTTTTCCCACTTTACGATTTTGAAAAATACTTTTTAGGTTATGTGGAATATTTTTTTTTATTCCGCCGTAATTAAAAAACTTTTAAGTAAAAATAATATATAAAAAATAAACTTAAAACTTTTTCTTAAGTGGGAAAGAGTATTGTCATTATAAATTTTGTTTCTTATTTTTTTTCGGGTTTAATTTATTTTTCTTTTTCATTTCATTGTTCCATTTGGACAATAATTCTTAATTTTCTGTATATAAAAAAGATAACATTTAAAGCGAAATAGAAAAAAAATCAGAGAAAAAATTTTTTATGACCTTTTTTTATGCCTTATATCTAACTATATCTATATCTATCTACCATATCTATATCTGAACACTTCGAAAAAAGTTTCGCAAATAGTTATTTAATCATTTATTGGATTGTTTGCAGAACTTAAAAGTTTACAAACAATTTTCACAATTTCACAATGATTTCACCGATTTCACCGATAAAAAAGATTTCACAGATTCCACATAGCTGCTACAGTAGTTATCACACGTGATTCACCCCCGGTTTTTAATTACTTGGTATTAGAGTAATGTAAGTAAGTAATGTCTATAATTATAATAATGTATAATGTAACTAGTCTTTCTCATTTATTCAAATTACCCTGAATCTGTTTACCTATCAGCGTTATTGCAGATTTACATTTAACGCTCTTTCATTGAGAAACAGACCATAGCTTCCAAAATCTACTAGCGATAGTATAAAACAGTTTCTTCGCACTCACTCGAATTGCGTTTGACACGAACTTCTGGCGAGTTTCTTCGTTTTCTGTAGAATTTCGGCGAGTCCGCTGCGATTTCTGCAGAGTTTCGCTTGGTATTTCATCCCCCTCAACCATCTGCAGTTTTCCTTCTTCGAGGTCGTTTGTGCCTCAAACGCGCTCACGTTACTCGTATAGAACAGAGCAACTAAAGATCTTCTCTTCAGCGATTTTTGTTTGGCCGTAATCCTAAAAGAAAATGGATAATGGAAAATTGTTCGTGTTATAAAAAATTTGAAGCCAAGTTTTTTAGATTTGCTCTAATAAGCTTCAAAGCATACTTTTTATAGTAACAATTTTCTTGTAGAAAAGACCTTTTGCTAAGAAATCCAATCACGGTGATCCAATGAGTCCAGAAAATGATTTGATTTTTATGAATAAATTAATTATGGGACGATCTAGATTTCCTTTTTTTTATTTCAACTAAATAATTTTGATGTTATCATCACTGTACGAGAAACATAATACAACGCACTTACTTGTCAGCAAACCCATCGCTGTTAATTGAACTGTAGAAATACAACCACACGAAAATAGGCATAAGTTTTCTGCCATTCAAAAATCTCATCGCAGATCCACATCGTTGATACGGCCCCCGAATGTTCCTCCGAAGACTGCGGGCAAAGGTAATCGACTAAACCGTAAAATCGGCATGTACAAAGTAAATAATTCGTTAAAACAAACCAAGGATTGGGTAAAGACGGTGTTTAAACAGGGGGTCAATTTATTTGCATTCGGGTTGCGAGACCATACGAAAATCTTTTAAAAATGATCGAATACCATTTTGCTGTAAATATTGAAATACGTTTTTGCTACACGTTCGTCAAGGTATTTGAGTTACACATGTTCGAATTAATAAGCGGTAGGATAAAATAAGAGGAAAGTGATGGATAAATGTACCCAAAGAGTTAATATATTATTTTTTTCTAGTCTAACCAGACCTGGACATGAAAGATCCACAACTAGTAACTATAATCATAAAAATAAGTAAATGTATATATAATATATAACTAGATTCACAAATTCCAGCTTGAACTACATCGGGAAACGCATAGAAAGGGTAGCAAATATTAACGCACGGCTACATGAAGAAATGTCCTCTGATAATAAAATTACTTTCCCGAAATTTAAAAGATTATTCATCGGTACATCGACATTGATCGACATTGGTCTCTAATTGAGATTATGAGGATGTTACATTTGGTTAGTTTATATTACATTATATTATTATATTACATTATATATGTAAAAAGTTTTTATATTATAAGAAAAACATTAGAAAATTTTATTGTTTTTCACTACAAAAAATGGTCTGGTCATATTTATTGTGTTAGTAAGAGTTAAGCAAAAGAAAGACATAACTTACTATGGTTCATTACCACACAAATAATAATTAGGAACCAGTGAAGCAATTTTAATTTTTCCAAGAAAAAAGAATTGAAACTGTTAAGCTCTGATTACATTCTTGGCGGTGTAAATAAGAAAAGTTTGTTGATCTAGCGAAATATGTGACGCAGAAGTGTTTTTTAAAATTATAATGGTAGCTGAGCTTTCTATAGTCCAAGAAATCAAAACCGTAGTTTTCGCTGTCCAGTTAATCTCCAGAAATTATTTCTATACTTTATTAGTTATGTTCTGAAAATCCACATGTTTTATCAAGAGTTATACAAAGAAAAATGTATCTAGAGTGGCCATGGATTGTTCATGAATCGCCCACGTGTATCCCTGTCAAATTGAACAAATGAAATTTTAAAATAAATTTTAAATTTAATCACAAATTTCTGTAAAATATTCAAATTGAGCACAAAGAAAGTAATACAGTAATAATATCACTACTCTGCTGTTTATCTTTTAACACTAAGGCTTTTTTATGTTGCTGATATTGTTCAAGGGCTGTACTTTTTCTTACGAAGTTATTATAGTCAAATTCATAGTGATTGTCTTCAGTTGATGAATAGCGCTTATCAAACTGGTGCAATTTTTCAATTTTTGATTGTTATTATTAATGGAGAAGTCAATTTGTATAATATGCATTATTGGCCCAGAGTGAATTCTCATTGGATGCGTGAAGTGAATTATCAAAATCGTTGAAGTGTAAACGCCAAATTTATTTAAAGAAGCCACTTACCGATTTTATGTCCAGCAAACATTTCTCACGACGTTAGAAAAAATGTCTCCAAAATAGTTTTCTCTAAATTGCGTTTGTATAGGGACCCTTCGGATTCCCAATTCGTCTTAAAAAAATATTTTTCGTATTTGGTAGAGTTTCTTGCAACTTTGTTGTGATTTATTTTGACATTTGGTGATGCATTTAACTTCTTTCGGAATGGAATTGTAATGGAGATGGATAATTTGATGGAATATTTGTGTATTTTTTGAATAGTGTGCTGAATTTCAGCGTATTTCATGGAATTTCGGGAGAATTTCAATAAAGTTTGAAAAACCAGCGGTATTTATGAGTTTTTGAAAGATATCTATGTAATTAAATCCAATTACTTCTTACTTCTTTTACAAAGGACCTGAATGGAGCTTGAAAGGAATATTTTATTATTTTTTAAACACTGCGATGAGTTTCTGGGTATTTCATGGAATTTCTTAATTCATTGAAGTAGAGTTGGAAATTTTGAAAGAATATTTGTGCATTTTTTGTGACACTACGGGAACTTACAGGAAATTTCGATGGCATTTCGGGGAAGTTCGAAGAATTAGATGTATTTCACTTTTCTTTGGAAATGGAATTGAACTGGAGCAAGAAATTTTTAAAGTGTATTGTAGCATTTTTTTAATACGGCGGCGAGTTTCGGGATATTTCAGGAAAGTTCTTGGGAAATTCGGGGAAGTTTGAAAAACTGGGAGTATTTCACTGATATTTGTGTATTTTTTGCAACACTTCTGGGAATTACAGCAAATTTCGGGGGAATTTCAGGGAAGTTTGAAAAATTATTTTATAGGTATCTATGCATTTAATGCATTCAGTTTTATTTTGAAATGTAACTGAAATGGAGCTGAAAAATTTTAAAGAATATTTGAGAATTTTTTGGAACACTGCGGTGAATTTGAAGGTATTTCAAGAAATGTCGAGGGAATTTCGGATAAGTTTGTGATGGTGAACTGTAGCGAAGAATGGCCATCTTGAGATTATCAAACAATATCCGAACAAATCCGCCAAAGCAGATAAACATCGAACCATCGAATAACTTTATCGCGCTTTAAGCGAGAGCTGCCCCCCTCCCCCCCATCTTTTGGGCACGAAATGGTACATCAAAAAAATTACACCTAATCGCCGGCTCGGTTCATTCAGGCGAATAAAAAAAGTATCGTAAAGGTACATACAACAAGAATTAACAAATACAAACAAGTTTAATGGAAGTGAATGGGCGAACAGAAAGAATTTTTCAACAAAGGAAGCGGCCGAGATATAGAGGAGATATAGAGAGGCGCACCACCGACTTATCTCGTTCCCAAAGTGCTGTTATTATTATGTGAAACGGGCATGGGCGTAGGTGGATATCAATGTTTATTTGTTCGAGTTAAAACGACTCGATTTGGATTTATTTATTTTCGCCCCGTTTAATTCGCTTTCACGCAAGATCCGCTTTTTACACCTTAGTAAAGTATTCTTTGGGTAAACTGGGAATGGAGGTTGCATAAAATGTATACTGGCAATAAATATCAGCACACAAAATAGCTAGAGTTATTCTAGGGTTCCTTGTTCTCTAAATCTTTTTCAGTATGGATTGTATCCAACGCATCTCCATTATTCATCACAGGATTTTCACATTCCAGTCCTTGCTTGTCTTAAAAACTTCCTTTGCTAGTCACCAGTCACTCAGCAAAAGATCATTTGCATCGGCACCAATATTTGTAATCATGTTGACCCGTTGCTGAGGAATGTTGGAAAACTGTTCAGAGACGAATTGGAAACTTATCTGCGTATTATTATTATTATCTGGAATTTTCTTTAATTTTCAAAATAGAACTTTACGTGAAAATCTGCGTTTTTCTTTTTCGAGATTACATCAGAAGCGGGATAAGTTCTCTAAAAGTACCGCGAAATTGTAGTAAAGTTTTCAAATTGGAATTCTATATCGGGAAAGTTTCCATAAATTATTTCCATAGGATTAAACCGAATTAGTTGATTCCAAAATTTTTGATTCATTATTCACGATGAAGTAGGTGCATTTAGGCTGCAAGTAAACCAGCAAATTTTAGTTTATATTGAGGCATTTATACTCAACTTGTTTTTTGCCTTTCTATGCCACAGTAGTAAATATATGGAAATTTAATTGATTTGATTCTAAATGGATTTTAATAATATTATGCATATATGAGGTCAGGATTTTTGATGTTTTGGTGTGGGATTTAAGTAATTTTTTTGATTAGGAGTGCTAGGTGTGTTTAATTGGCATAATACTCAATTTTATGATGTCGTACACTTGGTTGAATACGTTGAATAATGAATATATTTAATTAAGTCAATTAAACTTTCTAGTTATTGACATAAGTGCAAATAGATTCTCTAAATCGTTTTATCTCAAAGGACGAAATATCCCGTTCCTCCGGCACTGTGAGGCAGAAGTGCCGATGTATCAGTTTCCCAAAGAGCCGTATTATGTGTAGATATCATGCCATCTTAATCTTTTGACTGAGGCCTGGAGAAATTTAAAGAGACGGAACTCTCAGTTTGGATACCTCGCGATGTGAGTGTGAATGGAAAAACTACATAATGATTTATATCAACAAATGATTAACAATTATAAATTTTTATTCAAAAGATTTCAAAAACGACAGTGTGTACTTATGTACACCAGCTGATTGCGCTGACAGGCCGGTAAGCATTTAACATCAGGATGGTGCTTTTCAAAGTGTGCGCACCAAATATCCGTAAATTAAAAAGGCAAAAAAAAGCTAAAACCCGAACCAATGGGAATACCACTTCGGGTTGATTTTCGAATTTGTTTGATTGTTTAACCGGATTAAGTGACATCGTGCAAACAGAATAAAACACAAAGTATCCGTAAAATACATATTTGTTCAGGATATTGACAATTCGGTCAGATTGGAGTGCCTGTGTACCTTTCGACAACTCACAAGATTTCTTGTGACAACATTTAAGACAATAAGTGAAAAGCTGCAGGTAGTGTCAACCTTCACGGATTACGGAAATGTTGGTTTTAAATCGTTATCAATTCGGCGTATTCCTCAGGTGTGGGAATGATAGTATTTCCGAGGTTTAAAATTTACGACAGCGTTACTTCCAACCGTGATCACATTAATAACAATAGTTGGAATGATTTGGACTCCAGCAAATAAAAGTTTAAAAATCGATAAACAGTCGAATTTCAAACTGGTTATGTGAATGTTTAGTAACTGATTTCAACCTTTTCAATCTATATAGGTAAACTTGTGTAGTCTTCTTTAGTTCATTCTCAACTTCAACATGCAACGTTGTATTGGTACTGATTATGACAATAAATTATTCTCAAACTCTCACTCTCAATTTCAATAAAAAATTATATACCACCTGTACACAAAAATGATAAATGTTCTCGCTTATATATTTATCGC